ATCAAACGGAAAATTACTGCAACCGAGCACGGGAGGCTGAGAACGAGTGTGGGGGGAGGGAGGGAGGGAGGGGAGGAGAGGTCTTTGGGGACATCCGAGCAGCACACGCACGGGGCTGGCGGCGGGAAGTGGGGAGTGGGGAGGGGGGGGAGAACAGGAGATTTTGTGGGGAAGGGAAAGGGGGCGATTTGAAAGCTGCGTGGAGCGCAAAATTGGGGAGGGCGGGGCGGCGGCGCTCGGAGGAGAAGGCGCGGCTGGAGCTGTCCCTGGTGCTGAAATCCGCCACCGGCAGCGGGAACCGGCCGCGGCTCTATTGGTATTTGGCGATCTCCAGCTGACGCCTTTCCAATATAGCTAATCCAGTTAGTTAAACCAAGGCCTTCCGGACTGGTTCTCTACATTAGTTGGATTCCACATTTCACCTCTAAATGCACACACACACACACACACACACACAAAGCCCAGCTTTTTAATCCTTGTTTTGTTTCTACTGTTCCTGTCTTTGATCCATTCCGCTCCCTTGGGACTGGAGGTAGGGGGATTGTTACACCCCCGCGCCCGGGCCCGCGTTCACACAGCCACAATAAGTAGAGGGGGTTATTCAGGATGAATACTAATCCAGCCGGCTATTGAGTCTTCGCTTGAACTCAGGTGACACGGTGTGTGAAGGCATTCAGAGAATCACCTTTAGGGGGGACAAGCGGGGTGGGGTTGAAGACGATGTTAATGACTATTTTAATGAAGGGGAAATGAGGATTCCCCTTGTCGCACCCCGTCCAGTCTAAATTCCCCTATTTTAGCTCAAGAGTTTCCAAGGATCAGATTAACCATTTGGTGCCCAGTGCTTTGACAGTTTTTAGATCAAGGTTTGGGGGTGCTTGCAACACTCCCGTTATTCTTTCATTCGACTCGTTTTCACTGGGGTGCGTGTGAAGAGACTGATGGGTTTTTTTTTTAATCTTTGCCACTTCTTCCTCTTCTTCCTCCTCCTCTTCCTCCTTCCTTGTTTTCTCTTTCTCCTTTCCTTCCTTCCTTCCTCTTTCTTCTTCTTTTTCTTCTCCCTCTTCTTCTTCCCCCCTCCTCCTCCCTTTTCCACAGTTTTTAAAAGATGTGGGGGGCTAAGAAGACTTAACTGGCCTTCCTGAAAAGAAATTGCGGTGGGCGGCCTTGTGTCTCTCCCACCTGTGATGTTAATCTTGATTTGCATTGCCGGGAGCTGCCCAGTCCACAACAAACGCTGGCGGCAAGTAGTTTCCAGCAAATGCTGGCCCTTAATGAAAACCAAGAGGGGGAAGTAACTTTCTCGTCTACCGCCTCGACCTTTTTAGACTGCCCATTCCCAGAAACCGTTCTGTGGGATGGTTCTGGTCAGCATGGGGACAACTTCCTCATCCACTTCTCCCACAGTTTCTAGAATGCCTGGGGGAAGCTGGCGCATATAGAGCGAAGGGCAGAGGAGAAGAGGGGGAGGAATGAGCATGTCAATTGGTAGAAGTGATAGGAAGGAAAAGTCTTCAGACGGACACGGAAGAGGCCAATAAAAGATGGAGGGGGGGAGGCGAAAGAGGCAAAGCAGGAGAGGAAAGAGGGAGCGGGAGGGAGAAGAAAAGAACGGGCTGCAGAGATTCGGGCGGGGAGGAGAAGGATGAGAAGAAGGTATTACAGGGCTTCATCCAGAAGGTGAATCCAGGAAGGAGGTGCTCGCTTTGCTCTGGCCTCCCGCCTAGCAGTATAACCGTTGGACTGCCATCTGTCAGAAATGGGGTAGGGTCTCCTGCTTGGGCAGGGGTTGGACTAGATGACCTACAAGGTCCCTTCCAACTCTGATGATCTGTTAACTGCCTAGAGCTCCGATGCCATCGAGCCCGGTCCAGGGGTGGCTTTAAGAGGACCAGGTGGCCTGGGTGGGAACTTGGAAGGACGAAACTGGCAGGAAGTCACAACCTCCCTTCCTTCGGTCGGGGCTGGAAGACGCCTGTAGGGAGGGAGGGAGGGAGAGAGAGAGACAGAGAGACAGAGAGACAGAGAGAGGGGGGCAGAAGGCTTCAAAATTAATGCTAGGCGAAAAGTTGGGGAGACACCCCTGAAAGAAACCAAAGGTAATCAAAGGTGTGTGTGTGTGTGTGTGTGTGTGTGTGTGTGTGTGTGTGTGTGTGTGTAAGGGCCTGGGAGGAGAATGAAGGAATAGAATAAGGTGACCCTGTCCTGGATGAGGAGACCACAGAATTGGGAGCAGGAAGGGATTGGTACCACCCTCTCGCTTCCTTCTTTCATTTAAGCCAGAGATCTCCAAACTTGGCCAACTTTAAGACTTGTGGACTTCAACTCCCAGAATTCTCATAGCTGTCTGGAGAATTCTGGGAGTTGAAGTCCACAAGTCTTAAAGTTGCCAAGTCTGGGGAGCCCAGATTTAAGTGCCCGCTACAAGATCGCTGGGCACAGAGAACCTTCTATTTTCAATTTCTTTGGGTGCTATTCTTAGATGGGGCATATCCAAAGACGATCCCCCAAAGTAAACCTAAAGAAGGAAGAGTTGGTTTCGGGGGGAGAGAGGCGTGATGTAGAGGCGCTGGGGACGACTTTGAGGTTGTCTCCCCGCCCCGGGCTATGTTATCAGAATAACAGAAGGGAAGGGACCTTAAGTGGTCTTCTAGTCCAGCCTCCTGCCCAAGCAGAAAACCTTATACCATTCCGGACAAATGACTGTCCAATCTCTTCTTTGAAACTCTCAGTGTTGGAGCATTTACAACTTCTGGAGGCAAGTCGTCCCGCTGATTAATTGTTCTAACTGTCAGGAAATCTCTCCTTAGTTCTAAGTTGCTTCTCACCTTGATTAGTTTCCATCCGTTACTTCTTGTCCTGCCCTTGGGGGCTTTGGAGAATAGCTTGACTCCCTCTTCTTTGGGGCAGCCCCTCAAATATTGGAACGCTGCTATCATGTCTCCCCGAGTCCTTCTTTTCATTAGACTAGACATACCCAGTTCCTGCAACCGTTCTTCATATGTTTTAGCCTCGAATCCCCTAATCCTCTTGGTTGCTCTTCTCTGCACTTTTTCTAGAGTCTCTGCTATCAGCGTTCCAATATATTTTGGATCAGAGAGCGCTGGAACTCTGGGGATGAAAGAGGAGAAGGGTTATTATAGGATTCCACTGCGCCTCTGTGCCACCAACAAGTCACACCATCCTCATTTTTGCCAGCTTGTTGGGACTTTATTATCGGCAATAAAGGCCCATTCTCCACAGCCAGGAGGGCCGATTTGGTTGGCATTGCAGCTCAGCTTCTCTCACATACCCCTCCCCAGCGTATACCCCCCCTCACTCTCCAGGTTGGTATCCTAAGGGATTGGGAACACTGATGCTGGGATATACTCTTCCAGTATGGCCGTTATAAAACAGCACTTCCCATTCGCACGAAGCCAACGCCAACCACCTTGGCCGTGGTGGGCTTTGCGGAGGCCGATCCTAATCCAGCGATTTCCACACTTGTGAATTATAGCGCCGTCTAACCAGCGTCGGGCCGATATATCAGTAATGAAGGCGGCTTCAGGTTGTCGGGATAATGGATGGCCGGTGTTGGGTGGAAAACATTTATGGCCTGAATATTTTAAGGGCTCGAGATCAATGTTTTCACCAGTGATTTACTAACACCCAAGCCACGTTTTGGCGCAACGAAGTCTGCCTTTAACGCGGGTTGTTGTTGGTTTTCCCCTTGACACAGCTGTGAAACCACTGGTGTAAGAAACACTCCAGGGGGAGAAAAAGTGGCCTACATTGAAATTACACCTACTGGAAACGATCCTGGCTTTCTGTCTATGGAGATTCTCAGTCCTCCACGTTGTGGTTGCCCCAAAAGTGCTGTTTTTTTCCCCCAAGAGGCAGCTGGCCTTTCTGGTTTTCTCCTTGAAGACGTTTCGCTTCTCATCCAAGAAGCTTCCTTCTGCTCTGACTGAAGAATTCCATTCCCCACCATTCAATCAGAGCGGAAGATGTTTCTGGGATGAGAAGCGAAATGTCTTCAAAGAAAAAAAACAAACAGAAAGTCCAGTCGCCTCTTGGAAAAAAAAAAAAGCACTTTGGGGATATCCTGGCTTTCAGCGTGCACGCAGTTTTTTAAAGTTACACTTACAACGCTTTCACCCATCTATACCCACACGGAGTTCCCCAATGCTGACTCGCGACAGATACGAGTTTCCTTTGAATTATAGACCCAAACGCAGCTAACCTGGCAGCCACTGGATTAATTTAGGAGCCACTTCGATAGGCGCCTCCAAAAGAGCGCAACTGAGATTTGAGCGGGATCCCACCCCCCCACCCCCCCGACAGGCGCAAACGCGGGTCGAAAGCGCCGCGTTTCCCACGTTTTTTTTTTTAAGTACGATGATTTCCAAAAACGAGTTACGCTCGGCGGGCCCTGACGAGTCCTGTCTTGAAGAGGGAGGGGGTGTCTTTTACCTGGGTCAGGAAGTGGGGACGGCCAACAGCAGCCCCCCCCTCCCTCCCAAAACAGCAACAAGAAGCAAAACGCAGCACAGGTGATTTGTGGCTTTTATGCATGGGTTTGCCTCCCCCCACCTACCTATCCCCCCTCCCCAAAGATTGCGCGGCGGGACTTTTTTTATTTTTTTCTTGCGTGGAAACGTCGGGTCCAACTCCGCCGGGCCAGGATTGAAGCTCCAGTTGGGGTTCTCCCCTCCCTCCCTCCCTCCCTCGCCAACTCCGCCATCTCCCGGAGACTCCCTTCCCTGCCAGTGGGGGGTGGGGGGTGGGGGGGATAGAGACACGGGACACACACACCCCGAAATGCGCAGCGCCTTCTCTCCTTCGCGCCCATCCCAAGTAGGTCGAGGAGAAGGGTGGGCGCCTCTCTGCTTTTTCCTCTCCTTTTTTTTCTTGTGCAAAATCGCGCCGGAGACCCCCCTTCCTCACTGCGCTTTCTCTCTCTCTCTCTCTCTCTCTCCTGTCTTCCCCCCACCTGCCTGCAGATAGAAGCTTCCCTCGCTATGGATTGTAACTGCGTCTCCGACCTGCTCCTCACCTCTCCTGTGCCGGCTCTCTGGACACCAGGTAATCCGGACCCTCGGGCTGGAGATTTACGACCGAAGCGGGGGAGGGCAGGGGCCTTCCCAGGCCCTGCGCGGTGGGGGTTAATCCGGGAGCCAAGGACTCAGCCGTAGGCAGTGGGTGCTGGATCCCCGGAATCACCTGGGCAGTGGCGGATTAAGGTTCACTGGTGCCCTAAGCACTGACAAATCTTGGTGCCCCACTACTGTCCAAAAAAGAAGCCATCTTCTCAACTTTGTGGTGCCTCCTTTGGGCCTGGTGCTTAGTCTGCTTAATGGTTACTACACCCCTGCACCAGGGTGTTGGAGCCCCTTGGCCTCTAACTGTGCCTAGTTTACCAGCGGGTTAGGAAACTGCCTTTGGGGATGAAGGCTAGGCCTCCAACAGAGCCTGGCTGTCTTCATGCAGCCTGCTTGACCTGTATACTGAATGGACTTCTAAACTGGGCCAGCATAAGACCCCCACCAACCAGTAACCAAAAGGCTGGGGTTCATAAATTGCTAATCCATGTGTCAGGGCTCTGACAATCCACGCCCCCATTCAAATCATAAGTCTCTAGCTGCATCTCTCAGAGTTAAAAAAAAAATCATTTATTTGGAGTGACCATGTCGGCGTGACCTGGATGCATCGTTCATTTCCCCTTTGACCCTGGTCTTCCTCCCAGCCCCTGGATGTATATTCTCCAATGGGACACATCCATAGTCAAGAGTCATCAGTCATGCTCTCCAGTAATAATCTTGCGTGCCAGAAGCTTCGGCCGCCAAGCAATTATCTATGAAGCATTTAAGGAATGCACTACGCCCCCCACTGCCTTTCTGCTGGCAACTCTAAAAGACCAGAGAAATATTTTTGAGTTGACACCACGGCTCTTAAAAGCTAACATGGTTCAAAGTAACCCTAGTTAAGAATGTTTGCCAAGGGCAACTCCATTTGGCTAAGCATGCGGCCTGAACCCAGGTAGACCGCCATCCTAAATACAGGTAGTGCTCAACTTACAACCTTTAGTGACTGTTACATATAAACCCAATCGTGGTGTTGGTTTAAGGTCACCTCACAATCAGGAGGTTGTGAGTTCGATCCTAGTTTGAGGCAGATCTCTCTCTCTCTCTCTGGGGCTCTTTGAGATATGCCTGCTGAACAAAACTCCGCATTGGCGACAGGAAAGGCATCCGGCCAGTAAACACTCGGCTCCATTCAGTTGCCCAGACTCCACCCCCAAGGGATTAAGGGGTCATTAAAAGAGGGTGATAATGGTGTTGGTTTAAGGGAAGGCATGTCTGTAATTCAAACAATTGTCCTATTGAGATACAGGTAGACCTCGACTTACAACAGTTCATTTAGTGACTGTTCAATGTTACAACAGCACTGAAAAAAGTGACTTATGACCATTTTTCACAGTTACAACCAGTGGTGGGATCATATATTGACACTACATTGCTAAGTCACTGTCCTCCCCAAAGAAACCAAAATTCCAGGTTTCAAGCTAACCAAGTTTGGCATGTTGTAAGAATGTAGCGGCAGGAGTTTTAGGTGATTTGGTTCTACCTGTTGCCTGAACCTCCCACAGACCCAGAAAACTTACCAGATCTGGTGCATTGATGCACTATCTAGTATAGTGTTAAACTAGATGAAATATTGTCATTAATAATAATGCAACGAAAAGGTAACCTCGGATAACGGCCAAGTTCTTTTTTAAATTGTCACCATGAAATTGAGAATGAAAAACTGTGTTTTGAGATTTCAGGTTTGAATATTAAAAAGAATTCTTACACACACACACATCCACACACACGCATATATATATATATATATATATATATATACACACTCTATTTTACTATATATTATTACCTGCGAACACACATGCTTTTGAACACTTGGCATTTCTTAATATTTTTAAGAAGGAAATATGAAACCAGGCCAGCTATCAGTTTTCTCCATAACACCCAAACCCGCATGCCAACTCTTCAAATGTTACTCCGTTTGCACATCAGTATTTTAAAACATCAAATATAAAATACTGTTGCATTCAGTCGTGTTGTTTTCCTCCAGCTTGTATAACTAAGTGTATAACTAAACCGAAATCCCATCCTGCACTTTTCATTTACTGATTTAATGATTTAAAAGACAGGCCTCACTTTTCTTCACCCAAATTAAAGCATTTCCAGACAAAGGTAGCAATTAAACCAATGTAATTAATAAGAAGATGCAAGCAGACGCACTCAGAAAAATCATTACTTCCTTTTCTTACGCAGCAAAATAAAGCCATCTCTTTCCCCAAATTATCTAAAATATTATGATTTTAGTAAGCATAGGGGGAAAAAAATAAATTTTCACAGGGGAAAGCTTGGCATCGTATTGAGAGCATAATCCTTCCCATATTGGAGGAAACTCAGTGATGGTCACATTTTTAAAAGTTGATTGGGATGAAAGAGGGGGAAAAAAATACAAATTTGGTGCCCAGCCGGCTGTTGAATGGATACTGGCTGCTGAGAATTATTTCTTCAAAATGTTTCTCTGCCCGGCTTTGCTTCTCGAAGTCAAATATCTAGTGGCTCTTTATCAAAATATTTTAGCCATCTGGGAACATTTTAGCAAATGGAAAACTGCAGGGGAGATTCCAGCTCTATCGCCAATAAATAAATAAAAATAAATAAATAAAATTGGCAAGCCCCTCCGAACGCTGACAAGAGAACCAACTGCTGTTCAGATCACAACCCAGGGAACATGCCGAGAAATTGTCATGGTCCTGATTGTGTTCTTGCCTTCTGCCAGTTTGCAATAGGCAAACATTTCCACACACACACACACACACCCTTGTTCCATCCAAACAGCTATTAATTGCACCCTTTCCCTCCGAGCGGTGCCTCCCCCAGGAATCTAGATAGCTGTGAAGTTGATAGCTCCGAGCTGAAAGCTGGGGGCAATTGCGACAATCAAAGGGAAATGTTTTTAACCTGAGGCTGCCTTTCCCTTGCTCGGCCTCTGAGGAGTGAATCCTGCATGTTTCATTAGCCAGCTGCTTCAATCTTCTTTTCTTTCTTTTTTTTTCCCCCCTCCCTTCACAAAGGCTGATCGCGTTGAAGTAGGAAGGGAGAACGGGGTTCAACGTGGTTTCCTTGGGGCCGAGGATGCCTGCTAAAGGGAGGTTTTGAGAGAGTCAAAATGGCAGCCGCAACCATGGCATGGAAGCCCTGCCTGCTGGGTGTTAAGCTGCAGTTCGCAAGAGTTATCACACAAGCTTTTCCACAGTCAACTAAGTACTAAACTGGCACCAGATAAGGGGCAGCGGAATTCGGGAGAGGTTGGACTTGTTTGTGACAACATAAGGATTCTAGGCTAATGACTTACTAAACTCCACCCTCAGTTCTACTGCTCTTCTCCTGCACTGTCCACCGTGTAAAAAAAGGGGGGGGGGGCTTTGATTACATAATTTTGACTGCCATCTTGACTTTTTTTCAACCCCTCCTTCCCAGACTCTCCTTGTCACGGTATTTAGTATTCTAGAATTAGAATGAAAAGAACTTCCTTCTCCGTGTTCATGCATTTCTAGAGTCATTCTGGGTAGTTTATGACACTACTGTAAAAGTTACAACAGCCCTCAAAAAAGTGACTTAAGTCCAATCCTTGCACTTTCAACCATCCCAGGCAACATCCCCACAGTTGTGTGATTAAGATTTGGGCGCCTGAACAACCAGCATGTATTTATGATGGTTGCAGCATGCCAGCTTTCTGTGAACGCCATTTCTGTGACTTTCCCAACTGGCTTCCAACAAGCAAAATCAATGGTGGGTAAAGGTGGATTCATTTAACAACTGTGTGAGTCACTTAACAACAGCAGCAATACACTTCATATGTCACCATTCCAGCAAACCTCCATTCCACTCAATAACTCTGAGATAGACATCTCTCAAAAGTTCCTTTTGTTTGGATAGTAACTGGCACAACTGTGCAATCTCGAATCTGAAAGTTGCAGGCTTCCTTACAATAAGTACAAACTACAAAATGCACCCCCTGCACCCATCAATCACATCACATGGCCCAATCACCATCTGTCCCCATCCGTCCTCTCACTTATGCGCAACACAACCTGACCTTGAATCAGAAAAAGAATGCTATTACGCCTACCTAAATATACTCCAGTATATTCCCTCCTCCCACTCTCCCAGGCTCAGATGTGGCAGCGTGGGAGCATCTGGTCTCAATATGGCTTCCAAAGCTGACATCAAAACTGGGACAAAAAGAATTTTAAAATCAGTCGCTTAATCACCAGCCGGCTTAGCAACAGAAATTCTCGTCCCACTTGTGGTCATAACTTGAGGACTATTGGAATATTCCTGGTTCTCCTTTGCAAATGGGAAATCTCAGTTGATGCATAAGTGCTTGTACCTGCTCACTGTGTGACCTTGAAGCATCTGCTCTGCTCTTCACGGGGCATACAGTTAGTCCTCACTTTGCAACGGTTCTTTTTAGTGACTGTTCGAAGTTTCAGTGGCACTGAAAAAGGTGAAATACAATCGTTTTTCACCCTTAGGACTATTGCAGCATCCCCGTGGTCACGTGATTAAAATTCAGACATTTGGCAACTGTCTCACACTTATGATGGTTGCAGTATCCCAGGATCACGTGATCCCTTTTTGCGTCCTTCTGACAAGCAAAGTCAATGGGGGAAGCCAGATTCACTTAACAACCATGTTACTAAATTAACTGCAGCGATTTACTTAATAACAAGGACGGTGACAAAATCGGGCAAAACTCACTTAACAGCTGTCTTGTTTAGCAATAGAAAATTGGGGCTCATTTGGGGTCGTACGTTGAAGATGACCTTATTGGTTTTGCTTCCTGCTTGATTTGCAAAAGTGGATTACTTGACATAAATTTAAAATCAAGGCCTCTTTGGTTTTAACTAACTCAAGGCAATTTGTGCATTTTTTTTTTAAAAAAAAGGCAGGGAACAAATTAGTTCTTGTTACAGCCAAAGGATCTAGATATTTAACGGTTAATTAAGACAAAACTTACTAAATAAAATCAAGCGTGATGAATAGGGTAGAGCACGGTTTCTCAGCCTGAGCATGGATGTGGGAAATTCAATCGCCAGAATTCCCATTCAAAAATTTATTTTAATGCACGGCCTCTTTAAGTTAGCATCCGAATTTTGATCATCGGGCCCACAGGGACAGGTGTAAGTCAAAGATTACCTCTTTAGTGCAGTTGCCAAGAAAATTAATGGACATATTGATAAAGATTCCAGGGTTGGGCTATATGCTATTGTAGACTTGATTTGTGTTGAGGCAAAAAAAAATCCAAATTTCAGGAGTGGGTTGATGGGAAATGGAAGGAAGAACAAGTCAGGGCTTAATTAAACCATTTACACATCCTGCAGCAGCTGTAGAAAAAGTGGATTTCCCTCCTCAGGGATCATGAGGAAAGAAGCTCAAAATAAAAGAGCTGATATCACCACATTTTTATGCAACGCTATTGCTAGATTTGGAATATTGGTGCAGATCTATTCACTGGACTTCAAGAAGGCCGGTTGAGGGGTTAGAATGACAGAATAACAGAGTTGGATCTCTGAGATCTTCTAGATTATGCTAATAAATAAATGAAGCAGAGAATTGTGGTCGTTACATAGTAGGTAGTCCTTGACTTACAACAGTTCCTTTAGTCATGGTTCAAAGTTACAACGGCACTGGAAAAAAATGACTTCTGACCATCTTTCACACAACCGTTGCAGTATCCCCCCCATAATCACGTGATCAAAATTCAGATGCTTAGCAAGTGACTTGTATTTATCATGGTTTGCTGTGTCCCCAGGAGGTCGTGATCCCGTTTTGCGACCTCCTGACAAGCAAAGTCAATGAGGAAGCCAGATTCACTTAACAAACCACGTTTCTAACTTAACAACTGCAGTGATTAACAACGGTGGCTCAAAAAAAATCGTAAAAAGGGTTGAAATGTACTTAATACATATTTCACTCAGCAGCAAAAATTTGGGGCTCGGTTGTGTCATAATTCGAGACTACCCGTAGTGTTTTTTTTGTGGAGATTTAAGAAATAAATAGATAAAAATACGATCTCCAGGGCAGGTAGCAATAGCATGTCTGGAGAACTTTATGGCTGTCTCCACATAAGGTTTTATTAGAAAAGTCACAGTTGCTTGTTATTATTGCAAATATTCCTCACAAGAAAGTTCCGAAATCAAAATGTACCTGGCTCATTTTGTTAGGATATATGAGAGATCTAATCAGTTTTTTTTTTATGTTATTCATGAACATAAAATTTTTCTTTGTCTATCCTAAAAAAATCCTTCATGTTATTGCTGTATATGTGTGTTAAGGCGAAACCTTAAGTTTTAACCTCTTTATTGAATATTTGTTTCCTGGCCTTTCCATGAAATGCCAGCTTTGATTTAAAAATAAAACTGGACTGTGGGCCATTTTTTTTTTAAAAAATGGAAATATGAGGTAACAATGGCTGCAGGATTGTTATAGCTAACTTCTCATTTTCAGTAATTGGGCTGATTAAAATAGGTTAGTGCCAATGATGAAATTCAAATTTTTTTACTACCAGTTCTGTGGACTTTTAGGGACCAAGGAAGAAGGGAAGCATTGATGTGTCTTTCAGAACTGAACGGAGGCCAATAGGTTGATTGATGGTTGTAGGAATACTTCAAGGGGCTTCAGCCTTAGATCCATCAAGACTTTTTCAACATTTCAACATTTCTGGACCCTCCTGTTGGGTGTATGTGAGTGTCTGCCTTCCATCCTTTCCATGTGTCATCCTTCCTTACAGGTAGTCCTTGACTTACAAACAGTTCATTCAGTGACTGAAGTGACAACAGCACGGGAAAAATAACTTATGACCACTTTTCATACTTAAGACCATTGCAGCATCCCCATGGTCATGTGATCAACACTCAGGTGGTTGGCAACTGGTTCGTATTTATGGTGCTTGCAACATCCCGGACTTATGGGGTGGGATTCTGCTGGTTCGGACCGATTCGGGCGAACCCCTCGCTCTGAAGATCAGTTGTTCCTGAAGTGGTTCACTGTGGCAATCATGTAGGTCCACCCGCCCACCCAGGGGTGGGATTCAACTGGTGTTACTACTGGTTCATTGACTACGTTTTGCTACTCTGATGCCTGAGCTAGGCATAAAAACCTAAGCGGGGGAGGAAGATATATTTTTTTTCTTCCAACTAGCAAAGCACCCTCCCATCTCACTCTTGGCGAGCCATGGCATTCGCCTGATGTATAATAGAGAGGCCTTGGGGAAGGTGAATGCAATTTGCTGCAGGGGGGCCAAAGGTGCGTGGTGTAACTGAAAAATCAAGCCATCGATCAGCAGTTCATTATGCCTCTTAATGACAGATTCCTAGATAGAGGCACAGATCGGAGGAGGCCAGCTTGACCTCGCCTGCACCGGAGAGATCTGGTACCTTCTGCCTTGAAGGTCTGTCCTCTGCTGAGTTGGAGCCAGCTTTTTAGCTGTGATTAATGTGGATGGTAGGTGGAAGCGGAGGTGAGCCAATTGGCTATCCCAATGCCCTAGAGAGGCCTTTGTTTAAACGCTGGGTCAGGTGGTTATGAAAGCCCACTGCAGAATTAAGAAGAGTGCAACGTTGACGTCCTCAAGCACTTCTTAAAGCTGCCAAGGTTGAAAACCATTGTATCATAGACCCATTTCCTGGAAAGACTTGGGTGAAGTCATGTTCTACTGGCAGAAAGCAGAAGTAAATAGGGAAATCAAAAATTCATTATTAAATACCTTATTTTAAAAAGAAAGAAAGAAAATTCAACAACTCTAAAAGAGGATTCTGCTTTAAGCTTAGTACACAAAATTGTCTGCTACAACGTCCCACCTGTCAATGATTACTTCAGCTTCAACCACAATAACACATGGGCAAACAATCGATACAAACTCAAAGTAAACCGCTCCAAACTCGATTGAAGAAAATAGGACTTCGGCAACGGAGTGGTCAATGGCTGGAACTCCTTACCTGACTCTGTTGTTACATCCTCAAACCCCCAAAACTTTAACCTTAAACTGTCCACGATGGACCTCACTCCACTCCTAAGAGGTCTGGTGCATAAGCGCACCAGCACGCCTACCGTCCCAGTCCTACCGTTCCCTTTTATTCGTACTCATTTATTATGTATATACTTATACCTGTTTATATAAACATATATGTTTATATGTTATGTTCATACTTATGTTCATACATGTTTTCTCACATATGCTTGACAAACTAAACTAACTAACTAAATAAATAAAATAAAACTACGTGGAATGGGAGATTGTAGATCAATTAATTGGTGAAAACCAAAGTTATTTCAGAACAAAGATTGTGCACATGTGCACATGTTGTCTTTCTCTCTTACACACGCACACACACACACACACACACACACACATTATTGTAACTTAGAAAGCAGAGTCTGTGCTAGTTCACTCAGTGTGTCTCAGTTCAGATTGCTTTTCCTGAAGCCAGCTATCTGATGCTATCCAGGTGTTTTCAGAAATAAATCCCACAGGGTTCTATGAGATTTAAGTTCCAAGTAGCTGCAAAATTGTAGTAGACTACGTGAGTGGAGGAAATCTATGGGCAAGCTCTGCCTAAGTCTTAATTCATGATTCTACTTTTTCTTCCTCCCCATTTTTTCCCCATTTTTTCTATGCTTCTTATACATGAAGCGTTTTCACACGATGCCAATTATTGTCTATATGTTGTTGGGTTTGTTTGTTTTTTAAGAAAATGTATGTACCTGCTGTGGGGTCCTTGGTGCTCTCTGATCTTGGTTGTTTTCTTCCAGAAGTTTCATTCCCCAACTAGGTAACATCATCAGTGCTAGAAGGGAGCGGGGTTTGCTCTCTGAACAAACAGAGACAAACACAGAAAGCAAACCCCACTCCCTTCTAGCACTGATGATGTTCCCTAGTTGGGTAATGAAACATCTGGAAAAAAAAGACAACCCAGCTCAGACAGCACCAAGGACACCGCAGTTCTCCTCCTCCCCTTCTCCTGTTCCAGAAAGGTTGGACTTCTTTGTGGCAACATAAGGATTCTAGGCTTATGGCTTACTTAACTCCACCGCCAGCTCTATCTGCTCTTCTCCTACTCTGTCCCCCATTTTTTTTAAAAAAAGGGGGGGAGCTTTGATCACAAAAAGCAAACCCCACTCTATTCTAGTCTAGCACTGATGATGTTCCCTAGTTGGGTAATGAAACGTCTGCAAGAGAACAGCAACCAGGCTCAAGAGAACACAAGAAACCCCACAGTTTAACCTGAGCTACAAATATTTTCCCCTACTCAACCTTATATTCCATAAGAGTATTGTGCAGATGAAAGCAAGTGAACCTACAAGTGTAAAAGGGGGAAAAAGTTGTTCTTTATGGAACAATAGGATTTTTAAAAAATATATATAAATGAAGTCAGATTAGCTAGTTAAGACTTGTGACTTGCAATCCGTTAATTATTCTTTTCGTGGGCAGGTTTTGCTTTTCCTGACTGGGCCTATAAACCTGAGTCGAGTCCTGGTTCCCGTCAGATCCAACTCTGGCATTTTATCCTGGAGCTCCTGCAGAAGGAAGAATACCAGAACGTCATTGCTTGGCAGGGAGACTATGGCGAATTCGTCATCAAGGACCCGGATGAAGTGGCCCGCCTATGGGGTATTCGTAAATGCAAGCCCCATATGAACTACGACAAGCTGAGCCGGGCTCTGAGGTAAGACATGGGGAAGATAAAGAGATTTTGGCTCACGCACACGTTTATTTGAAAAACAAGTCTTATTCTATTGCAACGCTGGGAATTGTTTTCATTCCCAGCTGGTAATGAATCTCAAACACTCCCTCGAGATAAGCACCCACCTTTCTGTCCTGTGAATTGCTGCCAATAACAGAAGTGTCCAATGAACTAGAAAGAAAGCCAACCAAAGTACAAAAGAGCGTCAAGAATGAGTCTGAACCGAACGAACGACTTTGCTTCCTGCAAAGAGTTCGTCCTTGAGGTCTGCCTTTATACCTTATGGGAGGGGCAATCATTTCCCAGCCTTACTCCTGAGTCACCCCTTTTGTTTCAGCTGCTCTCGCCTTCTAGCAGCTCTGTGCACACATACACACACACACACTGGGAACAGGCTCCCCTGGGTCCTCTGCCTCGCTGCTGCCAGATTCCAAAGGCTCCGGAGGCAGCACCCCACTCCCAGATGCCCCATCTCTGCATCGGATGCAGGACCCTCGTCCGAGTCCTCTCCAGACTCCCGGACTGGTCCCCGTTCTTCCCCATTGCCTGATCCCACTGCCATCTGCACAGGCTGCCGGTAAACCACAACGTATCTGGAACTGAGGGGAATCGGGTCTACTGCAATGTTTCTCAGCCTAGACAATTTTGAAGATCTGTGGACTTCAATTCCCAGAATTCCCCAGGCACCATGGACTTCTGGGAGTTGAAGTCCATTGATCTTAAAGATGCTACAGTTGGAAAAAACCACCGTTCTCAGGTGAGGAAGGGTACAAAAGCTTGAGATTAGGTTTTCAGAGTCCCCATCTATCCTGCTATATAAACCTGCACCCAGTTCTCATTTAAAGCGAGAATCGGGATTCTACAAGATTTGAAGCAGACCTAATTTTGTAGAAAAGCTGATTAGATTTCAGTGGATCTACATGGCTTTAACACCCAAAAATCCAAGTTAAGGATAGTTCATATGCACAACAATGGAATACTTAAGAGATCCCAACAGAGGAAAGTGTTATTTTTTTAAAAAAATTAGAATATGCTGAGTTGGATAGATTAACATTGAAAACAAAAGATAAGGAAGAAACAGAACACTTTTAAACATGAGAGATATTTTACCAATGGCTAACTAACAGAAACAGAAGTTAGGAACTACAGTAAATAGATTAAAAAGATAATATAAAAAAAATATTTGTATTGAAAATTTTAAAAGATGGATAATCTAATTGTATTTTGTGATTAATATTGACATGTTTATTATGATTATGATGAATATTGTTGTATTTCTACTTAAAACTGTGCCCAGACAAACATGCTGTTCAGATAGATATGTTTATTAAAAGAAAATATCAATAAAACATATAGTTTAAAAAAAAAGGATAGTTCATTATGGATAAAATCTGCCTATATGGTGGCTAAGAATTAACACTAATTTGATAAAACATAATCAGCCTCATGGGATAAAACCAGTTGTAATTCCAGATTTTGAAAAACTTGAAGGCGAATTTTATTCAAATGCAAGATCCCATAAATGCTTAGGCGGATTTTACACTGCTTTCCTTCCACGATTATACAGGTAGTCCTTGACTTACAACAGGTCATTTAGTGACCTGTTACAACGGCACTGAAAACAGTGACTTATGACCATTTTTCACACTTGTGACCATTGCAGCATCCCCCTGGTCATGTAACCAAAATTTAGAGGCTTGGCAATTCATATTTATGATGGTTGCAATGTCCCAGGGTCATGTGATTCCCTTTTGCAACCTTCTGACAGGCAAAGTCAACGGGGAAGCTGGATTGGCTTAACTGGGTTACTAACTTAACAACTGCAGTAATTCACTTAACGAAGGCGGCAAGAAAGGTCGTAAAATGGGATAAAATTCGCTTAACAACTGTCTCGCTTAGCAACAAAAATGTGGGGCTCAGTTGCAGGCTTAAGTCAAGGAATAGAATAGAACAGAATAGAATAGAATAAGGAATAGGAATAGGAATAGGAATAGGAATAGGAATAGGAATAGGAATAGGAATAGGAATAGGAATAGGAATAGAATAGAATAGAATAGAATAAAATAGGAATAGAATAGGAATAGGAATAGGAAGAGGAAGAGGAAGAGGAAGAGGAATAGAATAGAATAAGGAATAGGAATAGGAATAGAATAAGGAATAGGAATAGGAATAGGAATAGGAATAGAATAGAATAGAATAGAATAGAACAGAACAGAACAGAACAGAATTCTTTATTGGCCAAGTGTGTTTAGACACACAAGGAATTTGTCTTGGTGCAAATGCTCTCAGTGGACATAAAAGATACATTCGTCAAGAGTCAAGAATCATAAGGTACTATCTGTAATGGTGTTACGATCTTGTTTGAGATCAAAATTTTCAATCATACAGAGCTGCTATTCACACAGTATTAAGCATATGACCAGGGGAAGAATAACAGAATGATTTCATTTATCCCAAACTGTACACCGTTCCTGAAGAAAAGACCTGTTGAGAATGTAATTGTCTTTCAAGGTTTGTACAAGCAAATTCAAAATTATTTAAACTGGATTCCATGTTTTAACGTAGCATGAAAAATATAATTATTACAGGGTTCGGGGCTCTGTGATAAAATGCAGCTAAGAAGAACAACTGAAAAGGGATTGATTTAAGTCTCCCTGGTCTTAAATTAGGGATGCAGCAGCTCAGTGGCTAGGACGCTGAGCTTGTCAATCAGGAAGGTTGGCAGTTCGGTGGTTCAAATCCCTAGCGCCGCATCACAGAGTGAGCTCCCATTACTTGTCCCAGCTTCTGCCAACCTAGCAGTTCGAAAGCACGTAAAAAATGCAAGTAGAAAAATAGGGGCCACTTTGGTGGGAAGGGAACAGCGTTCCATGTGCCTTTGGCATTTAGTCTTGCTGGCCACATGACCACGGAGACATCTTCGGACAGCACTGGCTCTTTGGCATTGTAATGGAGATGAACACTGCCTCCCAGAGCCAGAAACGACTAGCACAGATGTGCAAGAGTAATCTTTACCTGTCTTAAATTTGCTTCTATAAAAACAATGTTAGTAAGAAAGGTTGGAGTAATAATAATTTGTGAACTCGTATGCTGTACCTTAAAAATTCTGGGCAGCTTCCAATAATCACAGGAAGAAATTAGAAAAATGTATCTGCATATTAATGCCAACTTCCAGTGCCTGAATGTTTAACCGATTAATTTTAAAAAGCAAGACTTTGAAAATGGACAGCAATTCCAGCATAAGGACTCAAAAAAAAAGTTTAAAAAGTTCAAAAGAGGAATTCTCTCCATATGAAGGATGATCTGTGGCATTTTAAAGGAGTTTGCATAAGGCTCATTCATCATCTAACTCCATAGAAGCCATAGAATTATTATTATTATTATTTTTTGGCTTCGGAGAATGGTTGGCGTATTTATAAGCACTTTTGATTAATTAAGTGGCCTACCAAAACTCTTATGATTAATTAGCAAAACTTCCGTGATGTAGCAGCAACCCTGCCAAATATAACTCATACCTGTAATGTCCGTTTATCATCCTGTCATGTCATAAACAGCACATTCCTTCTCAGGTGTCAAAAAATCCGCAACCCTCAGGTTTCTTCTACCACTTCAAAATGCATGATAAAACCCACAAGAGCTCCATGGTTACCTTCTCCATAATTGATCGACAGCAATATTTGTTATCGCTTATTAATTAACTGGCCGCTTGAGATTCCTCTTCCCTAATTAATATTTATGAGGAGCTAAGCGCTATTGACACTTCCTATTAACTCAGCCTGGGAATCCACCACGGCTTTGCCCAGTAAATAAATTCTAAAAAGACGCCCTAGTAAACCCACAGGAGAAACTCAAAAGAGATGTGTTGCTAGCACAGCCGAAAGGGAACTTGGTGGTGATATGCCACGGCTTGCTAGGGGGCGCTTTATTTGAAATCATGCTGATTTCTCCAAATATACCACTAGGGGGAAGTACACTGCAAGAAAGAAAAAGTGATTTAATCTCCTTTCCAAAAAGAATGCCAACCAGTTTTATTTAATTGGTATTTTCCCCCATGTGGCTAAATTGTTGCTGAAAGAAAAAAAAGGATCTAAGATTCTATGATTTATTTTAGCTATCATCTCTATAGAATTTAGACAGAGCATTCCCCGTGAGTTTTTAAAAGGCAGCTTGTCTATCGCTGTTACATGCGTGCAAATATGGATCAAATCGTTTTGAATCAAATGCAGTGCTTTGGCAATTGATATTAGAAAATGCTTTTATCTTTTGGAGTTTGCCTTATTCTACCCCAGACTCTTAGCTTGAATCAGAGTTGGATGACTTTGATTAAGAGGATGAAGGAGAGAGAAGTGGATAGGAGTCTCCCATCGCTCCACAAGATGGGATTCCAAACCAGCATTAGGAATTATTTTCAAGACTCCAGATCAATTGCCTCACATATTTTGAAATCTGCTGTTGGACAATGCAGCATGAAGTTTCTTGAGTTTTATTTCTTCTTCTTCTTCTTCTTCTTCTTCTTCTTCTTCTTCTTCTTCTT